TCTTTGTTATTATGCTCAGCGTCTATTAGTTTACATTTTGACTGCACAATTGTGAGCTTTTTGTTATGCACAAAAACAACATTGTTTTCTTTTATTTGTGGACCATGATTATTTAATAAATGCTGATAATTTATTTTTGAGTAATTTCTTCATGTACATCTACGCTGTATGTAAATAAAAGTGCCCGTGTGACAGCTGGGACACAGTGTGACTAAGAACTCTCTTTTTGTTCTTAACTTATGGCTTTAAAAAAAAAAAAATCGAGATATATATCTTATATCGCCATCCAGCTAAAAAAAATATCGAGATATTAATTTTGGGTCATCTCGCCCAGCCCTACTCATGAGTCCCAGTCGACTGTGTATAAAGGTTTCTTCCTTTAAGTCTTCCATTGGTATTTGTTTATGGATTTTTCTGCCTTTAGCTTTTAGCTAATTCAGCCGAAGGACGAATAAGTTCATGGATTCTGTTGAGGCAGCCATCTACAATTCACAAAACTACAGTAATCAAACATACACACACTAATCGCCCAATGGGTTTTCTCCCAAACATGTCTTCAAGGTCAAGATCTAAGCCATGTTTGTTTTCTTACTGCATTGAGGCAACTGTTGCCTGAAGGCACTTTATATTATAAGGTAAATGCCCTACAATAATACAAAGAAAACAGAGAAAACCCCAACAAAACTATATATCCCCGATAAGCAAGTGCTTTGGTGACAGTGGAAAGGAAAAACTCCCTTTTAACAGGAAGATACCTCAGCAGAACCAGGCTCAGGGAGGGGCGGCCATCTGCTGCGACTGGTTGTGGGTGAGCTATGAAGACAAGACAAAAGACAGGACATGCTGTGGAAGACAGCCAGAGATTTATTATGGTATTGTAAGTCATTGTGATTTAACCACCGCTAATTAATCCATTACTGATTACACAGCAAATAGGGAAGCACTTTTAAATGTTCAGTTTCTATGCCACATGTCAAAACAAGATTTTGAATGTGATTAAAGTGGCGGGTGGGTTCTTTTGGATGTTTAAAGAAGCCAATTGAGTCTAATAATAGATTAAATGCCGTGTTGAGGATATCTACATGGATGTTAAAATTACACACAACTATTTTATCTAAGCTGAGCCCTAAATCAGGTAAAAAGTTTGAGAATTCAGACAGAAAAAGGCCCAGGTGGACGATAGATAACAACAAATAAAATAATATTTTTTTTTAGTTTTCCAGCTGGGTGGACAAGGCAAAGCTTCAATTAGTGTAACTCAGGGGTCATTTAAACTAACACAATCATCCTACTGTAATTATTAATTTATTAACTAACAGGAACTTAGAGGAGAGAGACCTAATGTTTAACAATCCACATTTCGCAGTTTTATTTGTTGTAGATACAATATTGTTCTTTCTTTGGAATTTTTTGTGTTTCAATTATTTCAGCTGATTTTTGTTTGTTTTTTGTCAGGGAGCAGACAGAGTCTCTAAGGGTTTGAGGGGGTAACAGGAGGAGAGAAGCTGCAGAGAGTGAGAGCTGCTCCATCCAAAGTGGGATGGATGCCATCTCACTCCTAACAAGTACAGGTTTCGCCCAGAAGGTTATGTAGCTATCTATAAAGTCCACATAGTTTTTTGTTCCAACATCACCACCTCTTGTTTCTGAATGCACAAAACTTATTTTATTTTTTTTAGTTTTTCAAAATATATCAGAATCAACATCTTTTGTGTGATATTTTGTTTTGGAGACTAAGGATGGTCACTTTTGCTTACACTGAGAGCCACTTTGAAGCCCCCTTGTGAGTTCTTTTGGAAGAAATACAAAAGAAATATCCCACATCTCTTCATGAAACAGCTCTTAGGGAATTGCCTCTGAAAAATAGGGGTGTCATGATCAGTGTGTAGGAGTGGAGGAGCCGAATGCAGAGCACTGCAGGCGGAATTCAACACGAAAGGGTTTTATTGTGGCTGATCAAAGTTACAAACAAAACACAAAAATCCAAACAAAGCCATAATCTAAAGAACAAGGACATGCCAGGAGATACAGAGGAAGAAGAGCAACATAGCTCAGCTATTAATAAGAACTTCAGCAATCCCAGATATGTACATAATATATTTAATATGCCATGGTAT